TATTGACATTATCACATTAATAAAACTTGACTTTATAAATCTTTGTGATCTTTATTCTAATGAAAATCTGTGTGATGTTTTTGTAAATAGTTATAATGAATTTGGAATTTTAGCAAAAGTAAATAAATTTTTATACTTTTTTTTATTTTTAAATAAGTATTAATAAAAAATTGATTATTATAGATTTTTGCAATTACAAGTGATAATACTAAAAATAATGATCTTTTATAAAAGAATTGGAAGATATTTGTCAACAAAAAATATGATTTTTAATGCTATTAATGCTTATTGCCATTGTATTTCTCATATTATCAGTATATCTATATAAGAAATTTTAAATAAAATTAAAGCAGAAGAAGTACAAACTGAAGATGATGTATTAAATGATATAAATGTAAATAGAAATATTAGAGAAATAATGCCAAAGGTAAATTTTAATATTTTATAACTTAATATTTAATTTAATTATCAAAAGTATTATATTAATTAATTATTTATTTATTAGCTTCGAAAAATTATAGTTAAAATACAGTTATCATCACAATATCAAGATCGTTTTACACGTCATACTAAAGCAACTGGTCTTAAAATCTTAATATTATTCTAGATGTAAAAACAAGATGAAATTTAACTTATGATATGCTTAATAAAGCATTTTAAATGCGAAAGGTTAGAATATATTAAAATTATATAATTATTATTAATTTTATTTATATTTTGATATTATTTTTTAGGCAATTGATATATCAGCAAGTTCTGATAAAGATCTCTGAATTTTTGAACTTACTGATAATGAATGAAAAAAAATTAAAGAAATTATATTTGTTTTAAAGGTAAAAATTATTTTTTTTCTTTTTAATTAATTTTAATTTATTATAATATTTAGATTTTTATACAAATAGCCAAACAGGTTTCATCTGCAAAATATCTTATGCTTTCTAATATTATACTAATATATAATTATTTATTAGATGAACTTGAATTATATTGTGTAAAGGCTGATAGTTCTATTAATATAGTATTTTCTGTAAAAGCAGGTTTAAAAAAATTAGAAACATATTATGAGAAAACTGATGATTCAAATATATATAAAATTGCAACTGGTAAGAATTATTAAAAATATATTCTTTATGTTTAAATGCTTATTTTTTTAATAAATGCGATTTTTTATTATAATATTTAATTTATTAAAATTATAAAATATTAAATCTGTGATTAAAACTTGATTAATATGAAGATAAAAAGTGGAAACAAAGTTTTTTTGTTATGCTAGAGAAATTATTCTTGAGATTTATAATATCAAATATGCCCTTGTTGATACTAATTTACAAGTTGAAAATATTAATGATGAAAGTGATGTGATTTTAAATTATATTTTTGGTAAAAAGAAAAATATTAAACAAAACAAAGTGAAATTATATCTAAATGCTTTTCGAGTAGTATGAAATCAAGATATTCTTCTTTGGTGAAAAGTATGTATTAATAATAAATTGTATAATGAAAATGTTTTAATTATTTTAATTATTTAATTTATATAGTTATATAAAACAGAGTATCCATATTTAGCCATAATGGCTAGAGATTATCTTGTAATTACAGGTAATAAAATATATATTTATTGATTATTTTAAGGTTTATTAAATATTAACTAAAATTTTTTTAATAAGTAATGAGCGTTTCAGTAGAAAGATTTTCTGGTAATACTAATTTAATAACAACCATAAGATATGAGCTTAAAGCTAATACAATTTGCATCTGTATGTATTTGAAATCCTGATGGCAATAAAATATATATAAAAAATAAATTAGGATAAATGCGCAATCAAAATAAATAAATCTTACAAATTTAATAAATATACTTCTTTTAAATATCCATTTAAATAAATTTTTTTAATTTTGGTTTTAATATTATCCTTGAAAATTCTAGTCAAATCTGGTTAAAAAATAATTAGGTCAGATAAAATAATAATCTGTTCAAGTTAAGTTCGGGTTTTGTAAATATTAATAGATTTAAGTTCAAGTTTACTTCAAATCTGACCTGATCTGATCCTTACAGAGCACTAGCTATAACTACTGCTACTGCTATTGCTATTCTATATTATCATTAGATTAAATTCGTATTTTAAGCTTTTCTGTGACAATTTTTTAATATGTTAAATTTGATAAGAAATCTTTCGTTTATTTTCGTTAACATTTAATTTCATTGAATTGATTTTTTGATCTTTTTTTTGTGTTACATTTTTCATAGTATTATTTTTTGAGATAGAACTAACACCCTTAAATCTTTAATCTTATTATTTGTTTCTTTTTTTGAAAATAAAATAAAGGAACTATAGTTATTTTTTTCTTGAGGTAAATCTAATCCTATTTAAATTTTAACCTCATTTTTTCTTTTTTTTTTGGAAATAAAATGCATGCACTATATTTGTAATTTGTAATTAAATCTTTCGTTTCAAATTTGATATTTTTATTTGTAATACATTTGATCTTATATTTTCCTTTATTTGATTTTTGTTTTGTTTTGTTTGTTTATATTTATATTAAAAAAAAATTATAAAAGAAAAAATTTTTGTAAAAAAAAATTTCAATGAATGTAATATTTTTCAATAAATATAAAGATAAAAATATAATATTTGATTACAAATAAATAATTTTATGATTACAAGTAAGAAAGATTTCAACTAGCTTCTCTGCAAAAATAACTATTTAACCAATAACTAAACGTTCAATTTACATTGATAATTTAAGAAATTATATAGTTAAATGAAAAATTTTGAAATTAGTAAGATTTCGACATTTAAGACTACAAGATAGTATTATATTTCTATCAAAAACTCTTACTTGAAATCACATGTAGAAATGAAGAAGAATTAATTAAAAACTTTTCAACATATCATGATCATTAATTACATATTAACCTAGAATTAAATGAAACTATACAATAAATTACACAAGATTATTTATAATCTCAACGCTTAAAACTAGATTTTCAATTCAATAAATTACTAGACCCTTTACTAAATAATTTACAACCTCATATTCCTTCATCTTAATTAATATATAACTTCATTCCTTACGAATAAATCTTCCAATCATTTTCTAATCTAACACATTAAACTTACCAAATGACCAATTAAATACAATTTTAACTATTTGAAATGTCTTAGGTTCAATACAACAAAAAATAAGTATCTGTATTTTCTTCATAACAGGTTCAGCTAGAATTGGAAAATCTTTTATGATTAACTTAATCACAAATGATTTAAAAAATAAATAATTAAATTATTTATTATTAGCCCTAACTGACATAGCAGCAGTAAAGATCAAAGGAGAAATAATACATTTAGCATTAAGGATTTATAAATCCTCTAGCAGATTTCAAATCTTAATATTTTGTGATCATGAATATTTTAAAAAATTAAAAAATATTGTTATATTAATTATTGATGAAATTTCAATAGTTTTCGCAAAAGTATTCTTATATATTTCCAATATGTTTGCAATTATTAAACAATATACAATTGTATTTAGAGGATTAAATATCATAGTAATTGGTGACTTAGCTCAATTACTACTAGTAACTGGATCACTTGTATACAAATTATCAGAATAGAGCTTATTTTATTCATTGTTTCTAAGACAACTATAAAGATAAAATCAAGATATATAATATTATAACATCTTACAAAAAATTAAACTAGGAAATATATTTATCAATACATAAAACTTTTTATATTAAAAAGTAAGAGAATTCAACTATCAAAATCTACTTAACGTTATACTTAATATCACAAATATCGTTGAATACAAATAAACTGCCAATTGAATTAATAATACTATATGCAATATGCTGTCAGTAAATGAAGATAAATTTTTAATCAACACTGTAATTGATTTTATCAATAGAGAATGATACAACCCAAATGACTTACAAAAATTATTCAAAAATAAACTAACCTCCTAAATTACTTATGTATATAACAAGGTGCTTGCATAATGTATCAAAAATTAACCTAATGGAACAAAATATATGCAATGTTATTGTCAGAATTATAATATACATTAACTTAAAATTAAAATAGCATTCAGCATAGTAGGTAGAATCATTGATATTCAAATTAAAAAAGAAACTGCAACATTAACAATTAATGAAAATCCATTAAATAAATATCAGTTTCCCTTACAAAATGCATTTGCTTTCACCATATATAAAACACAAGATATAATTTTATCAGAAATAACTTTATGCCTTAACTAACAAATATTTTCAGCTGGTCAAGTATATGTTACATTAAGTTGATGTTTCAACTGGAATAAAATACATATTGCCTCTTTACATCCTTCCACTTTTATTATAGATGAATCAATGATTAAAGAATACAAATATCTAGAATTAAAACCTGCAATTCTATTGCCTTTATAAATATTATTCATATCAAAATAATTTCATAAAAATATTCCTTAACGGAATTCAATACAAAGACAAAAATATTTTAATGTCAGATTAACATTTAAATATTATAATCAATTTAAAAAAAAATAATAGTTACTTATTAATTAATAAAATTAATTTTATAACATAAAAATTTTATACAATTTTGTAATAACTATATCATAAATTAAACAAAGATTAATTATTTTTATTATTTTTTTTAATATGTACAGAGCTAAAAAAAAAATAAATTATAAATTTAACAAATCTTTAAATATCTTCATTTTTACCTTCATTTATGTCTTCATCATTTATAATTTCATTTATATCTTTATTTACACAATTTATATCAACTTGATTAAAAATTAAAAATTTAAAAATTAGAAATATTATTAAAAATATTAATGTAAATAAAATAGTTTATTTATATTACTTTTGTCAATGTTATTGAAATCCTTTTCAGAATTAATAAAATTTTGTAAAATTTGAGGTTTTTGTTGTAGTTGTTTCAAACAATATTTTTTATGAAAAAAAGGTTCTTTTTCTTCTTTCCATTTTGTTGCTACTTTTACAGTTTTTTAGCAATATTTTGAGATATTACTGCTTGAAAAGCTTCAGGTGGAATAATTGTAATTCCATGTTCTTCTTTTTCAGGAAAACAAAATAGTGTATTTTCAGATAATTCCACAAGAATACCATATTTTAGCAAAAAAAAATTGCCACCTGCAAAATTTGCAGGTTTATATATAAAAGAAGAAGTAGAATTAAAAGTAAAAGGGGATATAAAAGATGAAGAAGATGAAGTTGGAGAAGATGAAGTTGGAAATGTTGACAAAGATGGAGAAGTATTATTTTTAAAATTACTATTTTCAGTATTATTATCGTTATATTGAATTCCTCACTCTTCTTAGACAACGTATAAACCGATGAACTGAAGCTGCTACCAATGTGAAGTTGAATTTCAATATTACTTTGGATACAATTCGTTGCTTGTTCTTTAACGTTCTTATATGACGAAGTCGGTATTTTGATTTGGTATTCTTGCATAATTGATACCGAGGTGACAAAAGAATTGTAAAAAATAATTATTTGAAATATGACGATTATACATTTGATTGCATCTACGAATAATTTCAGCATATTACTCAAAGTCCTGAAAAGTTTATTTTATTGTCGTT